CTGGTTTTGATGATTTCTTTGTCAAGTTCGAATATGGGTCTTCTCCGGTCATACAAGGTCACAGAAGCTAAAAAAGAAAAGTTGTGTTAACACTCTGGCTGCTGCAGTTTTGATAAAAATATTCTAGAAATGTGTCAGATAGATTGTTTTGATGGCTTCTAGGTTTATTTTGAATATGGGTAATTTCAAATCAAAAACAAAGTCACAGGAGCTAAAAATAGAAAAATCTTGTTCATACTCTGACGTCTGTAGTTTTGATCTAAATATCCTGGAAATTGAATAGGAGGGATGTTTTGATGATTTCTATGTCCAGCTTGAATATGGGTTATCTCCGGTCAAACACTAGGTCATACAGCCAAAATAAAAAAATATCTTGCTAAGCCACTTAAGGCATCTGTTTCAGTCCAAATATCCTGAAAAATAGTCAGAAAAGTTATTTCGATGACTTCTAGATCAAGTTTGAATATGGGTCATCTCGGGTCAAAAATGAGGTCAAAGGAGCTGAAAATAGAAAAACTTGTTAACACTCTAGTTGCTGCAGTTTTTATTTCAATACCCTGGAAACTGAACTAGAAAGTTGATTTGATGATTTCTAGGTGTAGTTCGAATATAGGTAATTTCAAGTCAAAAACTAGGTCACGGGAGCTGAAAAAAGAAACATATTGTTAACACTCTGGTGGCTTCTGTTTTAGTCAAAATAATCTGGAAATTGGTTAGAAAACTTGTTTTAATCATTTCTAGATCAAGTACGAATATGGGTCATCTCATGTCAAAAATAAGGTTAAAGGAGCTAAAAAAAAGAAAAATCTTGTTAAATCTCTAGTGGCCAAATATCCTGGAAATTGATCAGGGATGTTCTTCTGATGATTTAAGGTCAAGTTCGAATATGGGTAATCTTCAATCAAAACTAGGTCATAGGAGGTCAAAATAGAAAAATCATGTTAACATTCTTATGGCTGCAGTTTTGATCCAAATATCTTTGAAATCAGGAATGGTGTTTTGGTGATTTCTAGGTCATGTTTGAATATTGGTTATCTCGAGTAAAAAAAACACTACTTTTTCAGTCCAAATATCCTGGCAATTGGCGTGAAAGGTTGTTTTGATGATTTCTAGGTTATATTCAAATATAGAAATCTCTGGCCAAACACTAGGTCACACAGTCCAAATGTGGATAAACCTTGTTAACACTTAAAGGGTTACCGTTTGAGTCGAATTATCCTTGAAATTGACCAGAAATGTTGTTTTGATGATTTTTGGTCAAGTTACAATACGGGTCATCATGGGTCAAAAACTAAGTCACACTGCACAAATAAAATGGGATTGAGCGGTATAAGGTCCATTATGGCCCTCTTCCAATAACCCTTTGGACAAGACTTTTAAGGAATCCGTCCAGACAAGATGAAATGTCTATTTTTTTTCTTTTTTTTTCTTTTCTTTTTTCTTTTCTTTATTTTTGATATTAGCTGCTCTAACATTGTCATTTTTTAATCATCTTTTAGGAAAGACCTCCAAATTATTAAGACAGACCTTAGTCTTTACTCATAAATGACCCTGACTTTGAAGGTCAACTTATTGAAATTTTCATTTGTACTATGAAACTAGTTATTACTTTTTATTATTGAATTGATTGACTTCGTATTGAAACAGAACATTATTTTAGGATAAAACCTTCATGTATATTTAACTCAAATTGTTCTTGGCCCTTTTATAACCTTGACCTTGAAGGTTAAATTATTGATTTCCCACTGATTTCTGCTTTAATTGACTATAGCTTGGCTATTTAATAAATGAAGTATCTTCATACTTTCATAAAATATAATTTTCGACAAGACCTTCTTTAAGGTTGAACTCATCATGACTCGATTTGACTTTTCTTAAGAAAACAGATTCGAATGTATATCTGAGTTTAATAAAAAATAAGAATCTAGTACCTCAATAAAACAATACCGTTTATCTATAGTTCATGCTCAAAATTAGGTGATTAAATATGCTAAATATTTTATATTTAATAATTGAACGAAATACACAGATTGTGAAAAAGAATGAATAAAGGTAAAAACTGTAAGTTCTGAAATAATTCTTTTTTAAAAATAAACCCGTATTTAGAAAAATCGACCCTTTTGGTTTTTCCTTATGTTCTTATAATATTTATTCATTTCCCGGGTTTACACTTTAAAGATATAAAGGTTTTTTTTAAAAAATGCTTCAAAAACACCTTTTTTTACAAACAAGATTGGTTTTTTTCAATCAAGTCTGTTAACAATTTGCGTATCCCTTTTTAAAGGGTTATAAGCTTGTTCCCTTTAATTTTTCTTTTGGGAAAATTTTCCTATTTTTTTGCAGGCCCCTTTAACGTTTGTCGTCGTTGTTTTAGTTTTTTTGAATCTTATCAAAAAACAACCCCCAACCAGATATAATTTATAAAAAAGGTTTCTTTTAAAAACCCGGGTTTTTGAAAAAAAAAGGGTAAATATGAGGGCGATTTTTCCCCCTTCCCTTTCTTTTCGCCCCGCGACCCCGCTAGGTGAAAAATCGAGAATAAGCAAGTTAAAATAGCAGGGCTGCAGAGCGAAAATAGGCTCATTAGCCACCGCTGCTTTATTTCTTAAATTATGCTCCGACACCCCCATCCCGCGAGGCAACGTTTAATTTATTAAATAATGCCACGGCAACCACCCCGCCATATTGAAATGTTAATTCTCGTTGTGGTCAAGGGACAAAAGCACGAAATGGCAAAAATTAGCTACTATAATTAAGTGGACATAATCGCTTTATGTACATATTGAAAGAAATTTAATGTGGGATTAAGACAGTATTGTGGGAGAAGTGTCTCTTTTTCGAAGTGAAAGGAATAAACTATTTAACTTGGAAATTGAAAGTTCTGCACATAATATAGTATAGTGCAGAACATATGTCTTTACTTGGCCAGAATCACAAATGCGTGAGTTGTTTGTGCATAACGATCTCCTAGTATAAGGTGGTATAATAGAGAGGGTTTACTTGACCTTCGGAATGTTTCGGACATATCCCTTGCGTGTCTTATCTATTATTTGTTAACTGAAAATTTATCCATATAAATTTTCATTTAAAAGATAATGCGGAAAGTTTCGGAGGTGTTATCTATTATCTATTAACTGAAAATTCATCTAGATGAATTTTCAGTAAATATCTATTATCTATTAACTGAAAATTCATCTAGATGAATTTTCAGTAAATATATAATGCGGAATGTTTCAGACATATCACGTAATCCGTGGAAGATTTTTGGATAGAGGCAATCTTTTTCCATATTGATAATTGCCAGAAATGACAAATTTAATTTACATGCACTTTTAAGATTTTTAAAGAATGTACTGTAAAGCATTTTTGAAACTAAGATGGTAATATTTGCTGATAGCAAATTTATAAGTACACACATTTCAAATCCATTATTTTAAGGCATAACCTTTCCACGTCCGTTTAATAGGTCAGTTCAAAAGCCTAAAACATTTAAATTTGAAATTCTTACTAAAGCAACTGGTGCACTGAAAATGACACAATATGCAATTAATGTGTCATTTGCAATAATGATTATTATAGGGATGAGTGAATAATTAATCTTTTTAGAACAGCTTTTGATATAGACCTTAGTATGCAAATCTCAGAGAAATACTATAAGTCGTTTAATGTCAAGAAAAACTCGATGGAACCCCTTTCATATTTTCGGCTTTCAACGATGTCATTTTTCTGACACACAGATGGGCGATTACAGTAGCCTGAACATCGACTTCCTTACCAAAACATTTTTTGAAACTTTCGCTAAAAATCAACTCTTTGTTATACTGTTACGGAACTGTATTGAGAAAAGTTTTTGATCTTGTATAGAATTTTATCCAAAAAAAAAATACACAATACTTATTTTCAATTAGCACAGAATGACCCATTATAGAAAAAACACGTTCGTTTTAGGAATTACACAATCCCAAATTTCACAATTTCTGTCAGTAAATACTAAATGCAAATGCTGGACACTCAATTTTAGCTGTTACGATTGTGTTCAAATATGAATGCATTTAAGCAAGTATAATTCTATTCCTTATATGTATGTCCCTCTGTATTTACCTCCAACAAATATAGCGAAATGAAATTGTTGCTTTGGAAACAAAAAGAAATCACGTGGGGCAAGGTCAGGTAAATACAGAGGATGGAAGAGCAAAACGACGATTTTCTGTTTATGAACGTATTGCAATATAGATGTCTTGTGCGATGACGCGTTGTTATGCAGCAATCTGACCAACTTGTCATAACGTGTTGTTGATCTTAATTTTAATTGATTTTATTTTGGCTCCTTAAAATAAATTCAGAATTGTGATTCATATTTCGACATTTGTAACAGACCGTGCATTGTAATTCATATACTGTTTAAGAAACAATTCAGCGCATTGCACGCACGCTTTATACTGCTCATTTGTCAGCAAATGAAGAATACATCTAGCACATTTCTTTCTGAATTTCAATCTTGATAGACGTTATTGTTTTAGTCCGAGCATGGGGCGTCTCCAGGTGTAATTTACCCACATTTGAATTTATTAAACCAAGGAATAACCGATTAAAAAGACATTTTATTTTGTCCATACACAGAAGAGATTTTATTTTTGATTTAAAAATGTCTTTACACACCAACCAAAGGAGACTTTAATTCTTAATATAAGAGCGTATTTCATTGGCATACATTGATATTAGACCAACCATTTTTGTATTGCATAACATATGTAGGCACTATATAGCGAGCTATAACCACAGTTTTAGAAATGGATTTTAATGACATGTAAACATACATTTTAAATACATGTAAAGCTAACTTGTATAATTATCTTCTCCCCGGTAACCTTCATTTCCTCGTGTTTCTTGCAATAATTAACAATATAATGTTTTAGATGCATTCATATTTGAACACTACACTCTTCGTATACTGCTATCGTTCATTTTTCTTTAACATATGAAAGTTTTATAACGCGAATATCAAGAACTGTAGAGGTTTTGCCTAAGTATAACAAAGAAGAAAATGAAGATAACATGAAAATAATCACCCCTGTTTTCATTTTGTGTCTTCGAGACTTTTATCTCCAACTGACTGATAAAGATGGTAAAGAGATAACTCCGGATAAATACTTTGAGAATTGTTTGTCCATGTCAGACGGCGAAAGCAAAGAGAAAATTGACGAAACGAGGGACTGTATCAAAAAATACTTTCCAAGAAGAAAATGTTTCACGCTCACACACCCAGCTACGGGCAAAAAGCTTGCTAAAATTGAGGGTTTTGGGGATGATCAACTCAACGTCGACTTTGTAAGAGAGTGTATCAGTCTGCAGGAATATGTGTATTCATGTGAACATAAAGTTACGGATGGAGTGTCAAAGGCTCCAGTTAAAGGTTATGGTAAGTAAAAAAAAATTAATTGTCATATTTTAATGTACAGATATTGTTTTTGCATGCATATTCAATACAGTTAAAGCTAATTTTTATAAAGTTATATAAACAGGAAATATATGTAACTATTTTCCGATATTTATTGTCCTTCGGCTTAGATGTTTAAGTTATATTGCCGGTGCATTGAGCAAGATGTTGGTGTTAGAAATTGAGTTCGTTCATATAGAAACAATATATTTTTCAGTGTTCAATTTTTCAAAATTAATAACCATTGTTAAATTGAACAAATGATTATTATGTCAATTGTCACAAAAGTATTTTACGTTAGATTGTCACAAAAGTATTTTACGTAGATACTTACAACTTTTATCTGATTTTAAGTCTTTTTCAGCAAATTCCTCTATACAATTTGTAAATCCATGGAATTATTATACCAACAAAACGTTCTCATTAATAAAATCTATTTTCAAATATGTTTAAATTGAACTTAAATTTGCTTGATTTTTTTTATTCTAAATCTTAAGTGATGTTCAATACATGAAAAATAATCGATTGACATTGAATTCATTAAACAGAAATTGTAACGAAATAAATTATTATATTTGTTTGTGGGTTTTTAAATTTGGCTTCGGACCTCCAAACTATGGAGTTTATTGCATTAAATTAAAGATTAACGTTTATTAATTTCATACTATGTATTATCCCTATTTATTATCCCTTTACGGCGTTTTTGCAATATAATTCATATGTAATTCTTTTGATAATACTGCCAATATTGCATATGATTACAAACGTAAAATTAAGAAAAAGGGACATCTTGATTAATAATGAATAATAGAAGTTGTCCTACATTGAAGATAAGTCAGTACCAATATGCTTATGATGATGTCCCCCAAATATTTTTGAAGACATATATTTATTTTTGCTATAGCCGTCTGTCTGTCCTGCCGTCCGTCCGCATTTATCTTTTGCAGCTTTCACAGAACGAACTACTGGTTTTATTTCAATAAAACTTCACAGGAGTATTCAGTTCTATTCCTAGTGCATATCGCTTCACTGGACAAAATAGCCACCAGAGCTATAAATAGAAAAATATCTTGTCCCGCTTTCACAGGTTAAACTGCTTATTAGATTTGAAACTTCACAGGAGTTATAATAATCATCCTTAGTTGTGCATATCGCTGGCTTATTCTGCTTCGCTGCACAAAATGGGTCCAGGGCTATCAATAGTAAAATCTTGTCCGACTTTTACTGGTCAAACTGCTGATGGAATTTCAAAGAAACTTTCAGAATTGATCGCTACCATCCCTATTTGTGCATATCGCCATGTCTTTTGCTTCGCTGCCAAAAATTGCCATCAGAGCTAATAGGTCAAGCAGCTGGTGGGATTTCGTCATAACTTCACAGGATTGGTCAGTACCATCCTTACATGTGCGTGCATATATCCGGCATTTTCCGCTTCACAAAAGACGCCAGAGTTATAAATAGAAAAATCTTGGCAGGTTTTCACAGGTCAAACTGATTGTGGGATTTCAATCAAACGGCACAGGATTGATCAGTACCATATTGAGTTGTAGGAGAAACATTTTATTGTAACAAAATCATCTTTTTGATTTACTGCTATATTTTAAAATAGATTTCTTTTTAAGCTCCAAAAATAATTATGTCATTGTTATGCAAGCATAACGAAAATTCTATATGTATCGAACACTTAGAAATACATATGCAATTTATTCAGTTTTACTTCGGCCGAATATTATGCTTAGTCCCCTTCCGGTTTAACCAGAGCGGGCTTTAGGTTTACCCTCTGTCTTTCTGTATGTCTATCCAAGATAACTTATGGCTACTTTTGTGGCTAGAGAAACAATAAGGTAACTGTACTTTCTCTTTGATGTAATTTATTCCGTTAAGCATTTATGTGGCTATTTTACTTTAAGTGTCTAAAAGAAAAATAAAGAGAGAAATATAGTAGCTACTATATGAAATGAATCTACTTCAAACTTCATATATATGTTTCTTACTATCACTTAAATCATTCCAGAATTATGTCCCCCTTAAACTTAGATTTCATCCAAGAAATTATAATTTCGAGTAAAAACAATTTAAATAATTTGACTATCTGTTGTATAAACATAATATCCAAACAAGGCAGGGAAACATAACACATTACTATAATACAGACAAACTAAGAACTCAATAGATTTAAGTTAATTCATGTTATTCATTTATTCAATGAAATAATTGAATGGTCAATGGCCCTTCAGAATAGTGATGAGGTCTAAACGGTAGTTGCTTTACGGATTACTTACAATACTACGATAATTCTTGTTAAGATGTTTAAATTAGGAAAGAAATCCGAGTTAAGAAGAAAATACTATAAAAAAATTAAAGATAAATTATATAGAAGTGTGAAGCCATAGAATTGGGTGAACTGCAGAATGACACGTTACATTCATCCTTTCACTGATAAAGATGTGTTTTCTGAAATAATGGGTTTAATATAAACAATACACTTAGTATTGATAACATTTATCAAGGAAAGACTGATATTATCATATTGCATACAATGCAAGAAGAAGTGAGAAGCTGTTTCGCATAATCCACAGATACAAAGAGCTGATGAGATGATATATTTGGAAAATATGTCATCTGCAAGTTAGCAACAATTTGTACGAATACGGGCGTGAATAATTATGTCTCCCCCACCTCGGGGGGAGACATATTGTTTTTGCCCTGTCCGTCCGTCAGTCCGTCCGTCCGTCAGTCCGTCCGTCCATTCTTCGTTTCCGGACGATAACTAGAGTTCCTTTTGACCTACAGCTCTCAAACTTCATAGGATGAATGGTCTTATTGAGCAGATGATCCCTATTGTTTTTTGGGGTCAGTAGTTCAAAGGTCAAGGTCACAGTGACCGTTGGTCAATTTCTCGTTTCGGATGATAACTAGAGTTCCTTTTGACCTACAGCCCTCAAACTTCATAGGATGATTGGTCTTATAGAGCTGATGATCCCTATTGTTTTTGGGTCAGTAGGTCAAAGGTCAAGGTCACACTGACCGTTGGTCAATTTCTCGTTTCCGGACGATAACTAGAGTTCCTTTAGACCTACAGACCTCAAACTTCATAGGATGATTGGTCTTATTGAGCAGATGATCCTATTGTTTTTGGGGTCAGTAGTTCAAAGGTCAAGGTCACAGTGACCGTTGGTCAATTTCTCGTTTCCGGATGATAACTAGAGTTCCTTTTGACCTACAGCCCTCAAACTTCATAGGATGATTGGTCTTATAGAGCAGATGATCCCTATTGTTTTTGGGGTCAGTAGGTCAAAAGTCAAGGTCACAGTGACCGTTGGTCAATTTCTCATTTCCGGATGATAACTAGAGTTCCTTTTTGACCTACAACCTCAAACTTCATAGGATGATTGGTTTTATTAATCAAATGATCCCTATTGTTTTAATGGTCAGTAGGTCAAAGGTCAAGGTCACAGCGACCGTTGGTTAATTTCTCCTTTCCGGATGATAACTAAAGTTCCTTTAGACCTACAACCCTCAAACTTCATAGGATGATTGGTCTTATTGAGCAGATGATCCCTCTTGTTTATGGGGTCAGTAGGTCAAAGGTAAAGGTCACAGTGACCATTGGTCATTTTCTCATTTCCGGATGATAACTAGAGTTCTTATCAGTGAGGACATTTAACTATTATTGATATATCAGTGATATATCAGTTGTCTGGTTTTATATACTCTGTTCTTTTATCTCCATTTCCATTCCTGTTTCCATTCACAGTTATTCTCAGCAGTGGGGGAGATATGCGCTTTTTTACAAAAGCATCCTCTAGTTTGATTTTTAGTTTTCCATAGTAGAAGGACTGCGGTACTGTTTTTGTTTGTTTAAACAATTCTTTCTTAAAAGTTGAAACTGTTTCTACATTTCTAAGAGATAAAGGAAGTTCATAAAAGGCCCTAGTTGTTGCAGGGAGAAAACAATTCCTGTAAAGACCATCCTGTTGTACATAAAAGAGATACAGGGCGGTAATTCTCAAGTAAAGATCGATCTCCGGATTTAAAAATTGGAGTAACATTGGCTTCTTTCCACGTTTGAGGATATCTAGATGTACAAAGAGACCGATTGAATAGGTCTGAAAAAGGAATAAAAATCCTGTTGTTAATTCCATCGGGGCACAATGCTTTACCTAAAGTAAGCGTTTGTAGTATTGACTCTACTTCGGTCGCAGACGTAACAATTGAATACAATTTTATGAGGTGAAAGCTCTTCGTCCACAATAATGTGTGTATGGTTTTCGTCTCAAATTTTTTTATCACGGAAATAACTGTTCAGCTTTACACTGTTCATCTTCAAAAAGATCGTCACCGTCTTGCAACGGCGGTATTGTTGAAGAGCCATTTGATGGTTTTATAAAAGATTTTAGACAAAACCAGCCAGACATAGTTGACCTAGATGAAGTTTGAAGGTCTGCTGCAAGTTTTTGGATGTGATTATCTTTAGCCTTTCTTATATCTGAAATTATTTGATTACGCAGAGATCTAAATTTTGTCAAGTCAGCTGCATTCTTTGTTTGTTTTGCTTTTCACTTGGACGAACTAGTTTTTGTTTATTTGGAATACAAGATTTCGAACAATTTAAAATGACGTCAGAAATATTATTGGTAAATGTATCAATGTGTGTGTCTTTCAGTTCTTTCCAGTTGACAGCTGTAACGTTCTCTCTAAGGAGCTGATAATTACCTTTGTCAAAAAGCCAGATATGTCGTTTAAAAGACGCCATCTTAGGTTTCTTAACAGTAAAAAAACATATACAAGGAAATGATAACGTATTGCTTGATGAAAACAATGATCACTTGCTCCAGAGTAAATAATTTGAGAAGGTTTAGATGTGAGTTTAAGATCAATGAGAGAAGATGAATGTTCTGTAAGGTGAGCTGGGTCTTGTTTGCATTGAGAAAGAGAGAATTTTTGACATAGGGTTTTTATTTTCTTTCTAAGACTGGATT